ATGCCCTTCAAAAAGTGACTGGTCACAGGGTTCTTTTAAACACTGAGGAACTCTTGAATTTATAAAATATAATTTGATGTAGAAAAATCAGCATTTACATAAAGCCTTTTCACAAATGTCTAATCTAAGAAACAAGCTTCACCTGGATTTGAAAGAGGATGGCTAAAAAAACTTGCATGTAGAAACTCTGAGTCTTACTGTTGATTTCATACTTTATAAAACTTACAGGTTTCCTTCCCTACGAAATTCCTCCTTTCTCCATTTGGCATACACTGACCCTCCCTCACGTTTCCAATGAGGCTGAACTAACACGGCTTTTGAATTCTCACTTCATTGCGTGTAGTCAAGGGTGTCAGCAAAGCCCTGAGAACAGGCCAGTGTGGTTCAGCCTAATGTTGCTGCCAAGCCTGGGGCAAGCCCTGGATGCTTTCTCATCACAGAGCTTTACTCCTCAAAAAGTGGGTTTTGCTTTTGCTGGTTTGCAACTGACGCTTGTTTACTGCACTTTACACTTGATACAATCTAGGCATCCCCAGGTCCTAGCAGTATTCCTCCGCACGTTATAAAACAGCAGCAGAACAAATTAGGTCTTGTGGCCTTGATCCTTAGACATTTAACCTGTGAGATAAAAAGGGAGGCAAGGCAGCTCTGCTGTCAAGGCTCAATGTCATCAGCCCCCAGGACGCCCCACCAGAAGGGCTCTCCACCTCCCTGCCGGTTCCAGTCCCTAAGTCCCCACTCCCTTCAGCTTCTTCTACCTTAGACATGTGAAATGTCTAATCGCCAATTCAGAAAGTGGGACTTTAACCCCCATGGGATAAACAACAAACTTATCCAAAATTTAGAGTGAGGATGTTTCTGTTCCATTTAATAGACAAAATTAACTTCTTGAAAATTATGGCCGATGGTAGTCTCAAGACTTAAAATGAGCTACAGAGCTGTATCACCCCACAATTAAATGTAATGAGAGCCATCAATAAAATTTACCCATATGACATCAAACAAAACGTACAATGCTTGGAGAAACAAACTGCCTACAGTACCTAGGGTGAGCTTCATCAATGCTTGCTTTGGATCCAAAATGTAGTGAGACTCTTCTTTCATGTCAACAATTGCGGCAAATTCTTTCACCTGAGTGGAGCTTGGAGCACCCAGTCTCTCCGCATATAACCAAAACAAATTTGAATCCAAAAGGTAGATGTTGAGAGTCTTGTTGGTTCTGCAGCTCAGGCCTGTGAAGTTTGTGCTAGTCACGTCTACTTCTGGAAAGAGATACCTGTTCTCCTCAATGTGAGGAACAGAGCTTGGGGCATCAACCTCACATTTCTTCTCAAGGGAAGAAAATGCAATGGTAGGGGCTTCAAGTTCAGAATCAGTGAAGCCTGCCACACCCCTGCTTATGGTCCTGCAACATGCAGTGTAGTAGCTGAAGGGGCTATAGGAAGTTAAAAAATTGCTGCATTCTATGCTGTCTGATGCCACATGATAAAAGGTCTGCTCCTTGAGGTAGAAAGAATCCAAAGCTGCTGCCATTTCAAAAAAGCTGCACTGTGGCATGCTGACCGAGCTCGGCTTCACACCCACGGCGGTCTGGTTGACACAGAGTTCACAGACGTTGTGGGTCCTGGAGAAGGAGTGCCACTGGGGCAGCACCACAGTGTTGCAGCAGGGGGATGCTGTGATCAGCGGTGGGTCTGGCAGATGAGCCGGCGGTTCCAGGGCCAGGGACTCCAGCATTGGAGCGTCCACCCGCCGCAGGTGCTGAAGCAGACGCTCCACCACCTGGTCCCCACGACAGTTGTTGTACTCCAAGGCCACTTCGGTGATCTGAAATACCGGGCAGAGTTGGTGAGAGGCTGGGGGACGACCGAGGAATTAGCACCCCCTTAGCCACATTTCACTTTCTGCAGTTTCAGTTACCCATGGTCAACTCTGGTTCAAAACTATTAAATGGAAAATTACAGAAATAAACACGTCTTAAGTTTTAAACTACACATTGCTCTGCGTAGTGTGATGAAATTTTTGCCATTACAAAAATTGCGAGCCATCCCTTTGTCCAGCATGTCCACTGCTGTGGATGCTACCAGCCTGTTTCTTAGTAGCCAACTCAGCTATCAGATCAACTGTCTCAGCATCGCAGTGCTTGTGTTCAACTGACCCTTTATTTATTACAAGGGCCCCCAAAGTGCAAGGGTAGTGATGCTGGCAATTCAGATATGCCAAAGAGAAGCCAAAATGCTCCTTTAAGTAAAATGGCGAAAGTCTCAGTAAGAAAACAAAATGGTAAGGTTGCTAAAATCTTCCGTAAGAACGAATCTTCTACTCATAAAATTATGAAGAAAAGTGAAATTCATGTGTAGTATATACAGGGTTCAGTACCATCTGTGGTTTCGGGCATTCACTGGGGGTCTTGGAACATACCACCAAGAACATGCAGTGGGGTAGAGGAGGATGCAGGGGAGGTGATTACTATATTTTTAAAAATACTACCCCAGGCATGACACTCCTGGGCCAAATGGTATGTTGCCTGTTAGATAAAACCTCTACACAATCTGGCCCGTTTGGTGTTCCAGTCTCACCCGATCCACTTCAGAACAGACCAGGCCCTCCTGCAATGCCACACCTTTACGGAGGCCTGGCAGGGGACACCAACTTCTCCATCTGTTCCCAAGGTCCAGCACCAGGGCAGAGGCTTTAGAGAAGCTAACCCTACTCCCAGCTAGTTTCTGTGCCTCCAGTGTCCCTGAGGCCCCTTCCACAGTCTCACAAGCTCCTGCTGAGACATCCCTCTTCCCCACAAGCTTATGGATCCTCACGGGCAGAAACCACATTTGATTCATCCTGCCATCCCTGGGGCCTAGCACAGGGCCAGGCACATAACAAATGTTCAGTAAACCTCTGATGAATGAGTGGCAGCTCAGGGTAATGGACACATTCCCCTTTCTTGGTAAGATTTGCCACTTTACTCTCAGGCCATATTGGCAATTTGGATTTACATTTTATTCCAAGACTCTTCCACTTCCAAAATGAATCTTTTATTACTCACCTCTCATTCTAGTTTCTTAAGAAAGACAAGTAAGTTATAATCCAAAGGCATTTACTCTCTAAAACAGAGGAGTGTGTCAACTTGAAGCAAATCTCACCACGGTTAGTTATAGGGTGGTGTCACTCAGGATTTTGTTTTGTTAAAGTGTGTGTGTGTGTGTGTGTGTGTGCGCGCGCGCGCGCACGCACGCGCGTTTATGTAAAACAATTTAATGAGTGCATTTCCAATTAAAAAAACAGTTTTATAAAAATATGTACATAAAAATTAAAAAACAGTTGTATGTAAAATTTAGAGTTAATTCAAAACAAACATATTTGTACAGGAAAATAAATTATTTCAACAAATAAACAATTTATTTTCCTGTACAAATATATATATGTTTTAAATTAACTCTCTAAACTCTCTAAATATTACATAAAACTTGTAAACTAACTGGCATAAAAACGTCACTATAACCCATCAGAGAGCTACTGGGTGAAGAAAAGAAGTCACTTTAGATGACAGGCCAGTGCTTGAAATTGTATTTCCCCACACAAAAACATCTCAGCCGTTTTTGGTTGAGGCTCTGACAGCATGCTGTACTAACAAGGTCAAGCCTATATAATCTGTGAAGAGCCTGGATGCCCTCTGACCCTAACCTGGTACTGCTTTATATTCAAAGACACAGTAATAGACAATTACTCCCACCCACTCCCCCAAAAACCTCCGTAAGGCTTCAAGATTTACTGTAATCTTTTACAGAAATCCAAGTAGATTATTAATTACATTATAGAGAAGAAAATTTCTAGAAAAATATTTCTTCATCTCTCTTATCTTTAGTATCTCATAAACAAAGCAGCCATGTAAAGAATATTTTTAATTGAAGAAAGTATTTTGTCTACAGCAATGCTTTTTTTTTTTTTAAGACATAGTTTTACTCTTGTCGCCCAGGCAGGAGGGCAATGGCCTGATCTCAGCTGCAACCTCTGTCTTACGGGTTCAAGCAATTCTCTCTTGCCTTAGCCTTTCAAATAGCTGGGATTACAGGGATGCATCACCAGGCCCAACTAATTTTTTCTATTTTTATTTTACCTAGCTAATTTTTTGTATTTTTAGTAGAGACAGGGTTTCACCATGTTGGCCAGGCTGGTCTTGAACTCCTGGCCTCAGGTGATCCTCCTGGCTCGGCCTCCAAAAGTGCTGGGAATACAAGTGTGAGCCAACCAGCAATACTTTTTTTTGGGATGGAGTTTTGCTCCTGTTGCACAGGCTAGAGTACAGTGGCACGATCTTGGCTCATTGCAACCTCCGCCTCACAGGTTCAAGTGATTCTCCTGCCTCAGCTTCCCAAGAAGTTGGGACTACAGGTGCACGCCACCATGCTCGGCTAATTTTTGTATGTTAGCCAGGCTGGTCTTGAACTCCTGTCCTCAGGTGATGTGATCCACCCACCTCAGCCTCTGAAAGTGTTGGGATTACAGGCATGAGCCACTGTGCTCGCCAGCAATGCTCTTATAGAGCTAGGTGTGATCATTTTTCTCTTATGAAGTGGTATTTACGTTTCTATTCCTTTTACATAACATGCAATTTTGAAAACACAACTCAAGTTATGTCACATTATGTGTATCACTTACTGTCACTTAATTACATGTGAATAATTAAGGAAATCTTGGCAAATAACTGTAACTGTTCACACAGTAGATGTTTCCTGCTATTTTCTTTAATCAGGGAAATCTGTAAGTCTGAACATAATAACCATGCCTTTGCTTACCAGATTCAGACAATGTGAATGCCTCAAACGCTTTTAAAATAGAAAACAAGTCACGAAGACTCTTTGCTGGCTTAGGTAAGCATTTCCTTTGGTTAACAAATTGTGCAATACACACTAAGATGTCTTATAACCTCTCTAGAACTGTCTAGACACACTAGGGTGTCCGTGGCTTTATGCTGGTGTCAGGATGTATGCTTTTGTGTGTGTGTACACACAGGTGCATGTATGGATGCACATGCAGGTATGCATGTGTATAGGAGCAGCTACCCAGTCTGGGCTTGCTGTGGCCACCATACAGTCACTACCCCCTGGTATCCTACATGTACCACAGCACAGCTGTCCAACCAGACGTCTGTGCTTGGCATGCCCCCAACTCTATTCCCTTCACTCTAAGATGACCTCTCTCTTCTCAACAATGCAAGCATCCTCAACTTTCTGCCCAATATTAGGCCTAAGGTGGTAATGGAAAAATAAAGGCACCTAACTCTTTCACGTTCAACAAACTAATGAATTTACGGCACCTTATACAAGTACAACATTCATCCTTCCCACCTTATCCGAATGCCCAATGGCTTCTTCATCTCTGGTCACTGTGTCACAGTTTCCCTGATCCTAGACCCTACTTTCCATCCTCCACCTCTACCACCCATGTTTGAGTTCTTACTACTTCTCAGTTTTCTGGAACCCTGCTGTCAGAAAAACTTTAGTAATGGTAACACACAGCTCTGGCCACATCTCTTCACTGTCACTAAGACTTGTGTGGCCGCGTGCAATGGCTCATGCCTGTAATCCCAACACTTTGGGAGGCCAAGGAAGGCAGACGCTTAAGCCCAGAGCTTTTGAAACCAGCCTGGACAACATGATAAAGCCCCATCTCTACAGAAAAATTCAAAAATTAGCCAGACGTAGAGGCATGCACTTGTAGTCCCAGCTATTCAGAAGGCTGACATGTGAGGATCACTTGAGCTCAGGAGGAGGTAAGCTGAGATCGTGCCACTGCACTCCAACCTGGGCAGCAAAAGAAGACCCTAACAAACAAACAAAAAAAAAGACAACGACGACTTTATGACTATGATTAATGTTGAAATCCTCAGAGAAGTGCCCAAGGCTCTCTCCTCCAAAGGCTTTTTCAGGATCTCTCCAATTACCCCTTCCTGCAGACCACAAAACCCAGACTCCTTCCTAACACCTAGGCCTGCAGCAACTCTCCTCCCTCATGCCTCAGGCTGCTCCTTCTGGTAAGTTTTTCTCAACCCACCAAGATTCTGGCTGCCCCTACAAGTCTGTCTCGAATACTTCCCCCATCCAAAGCCTCTGCTAACCACTCCCCTGCCCAGGCCCCTGCTTTCTGACATGGCACCCCCTCACCTCCAGTTCCTCCTGACCCTGGGCCTAGCGCGTGATAGTCCTCTACTTTGAATTACAGGCAGACTTTCACTCCCTGTACTGGACACACTTCTAAGACCACAGGACAAGACTGATGCGATGGCGTCCCATCTATCCTTTCTACTCTGGAGCTTCCCAGCAGAGTGCTCAGCAAACATTTGCCAGACCAACCTGAAACAAAGAGGGAAATGTGCGGGACAGGCACTTTGCTTGCCTGAGTAATTCATAATACTGTGAGATACTGCCTGGTGTTGAGTCATCTTACCCACACGCTGAGGTTAAGGGAATGCACCCATCTCACATAGATACTAGGAGCCCCAAGGAAAGGAGCCACAGGCAAAACCATGATAAAAAGGAGGAATGTTGATAGGTGGAGGAGTTGCGGGTTGCTGGAGGGACAGTCATTCAGGAAACAAAGGTGGCAAAGAAAGAGTCTTCCCACCAAGTGCCTAGATCCAACCACAACCCTCTGGGAAGAGGCTCTGGGCTCCTGCCACAAAACACCACTCCCAGAGGACCCTGACACACTCAAACCAGACAGGAGAGAACCTTCCAAATCCACAACCACAGCCATACCACATTGGCTGAAAACCCTTCCTTTCCTACAACGAGCTTTAAGGCTCTTAATATTAGATACAGTAAAGGCCTAGTCATTTGAAACGGTGTCTCAGTTTACAAAATATCCATGTAGTGAAAATTTTCTAAAGAAATAGTTTTATTGAGTCCTCCCTAATTAGTGTGGAAGAAACAAAGCTATTTACTTCTCTCTTCTTTCTTCCTCTAACCCAAAGAGCAGCATTCATTCAGAAATAATGTTCTATTACTTTGAGTCCTCCCTAATTAGAAGGGAAAAAAACAAATCTATTTCTCTCCTTTTTCTTCCTCTAAACCAAAGAGCAGGATTCATTCAGAATACTCCCCAGAGGGACTTATAACTTTAGCAAAAAGACCTCCACAACAGCACAGGGAGATATCCAGCTGGGCGCGAAGTACTGCCTCCCCTTCCTTCCAGGCAGGTGGCCAGGCCAGCGCTGAGGGGCTCAAGGACAGGCAGCGTCTGCTTAGCTAGCCAGTGGTACACTGGCTGGCCACAATTGGTTTTGGCTAATTAAGGGATCCTTGAGGGAGAGAAAAAAATAAAACCCTCAGTAAATGCAATTTCACCCCCCCAGGCTCACTCTGCTACTGTGCCTGCTGTCTCGAAGTGCCTCCAAATGCTCCGGGTAGAAAATAAACTCTCACCCAGAACATGCGCACAGATGAAGCCGAAGACATGCAAGAACAGTAGGCTCCGACGGTGATGCCTCTGAAAGGCAGTCTGGCTTCTGCACAACAGCAAAGGTTCAGAGAAACAAGGTGTCCCAATGTCACCGCTGCTGCTCCTGATCTCTGTGGATCCCCAAGACAATGGCATCTCCTAGGCCACACTAAACTTGGCCTGTGTTCCTGCCACTCCCTATTTCACCCCCTAAACAGGAAGCTCAACAGCAGTCACATCAGAAGAGGGCATTTCGTCCTTCCCTAAAGGGGCACAGTATGGCTTCCCTGCCTCCTCCTACTCACTCCAGACCTCAACAGCTGTCAATAAATATGTCCAGAGAGGCTGCGCCAGTCCCTGTCCTAGATACGAGCTCTCTCCTGCCCATCCGGAGGGAAAAAGAGCAATGCTCAGACCGCAGCTGCCCCTGCTGGTGGCCATCAGCTGCCAGAGTAAATGTGTGCAGGATGAGGGGGGCCAGGTAGATGAGGCTTTCCTACTTTTTTTTTTTTTTTTTTGAGACAGAGTTTCACTCATGTTACCCAGGCTGGAGTGCAATGGTGCGATCTCGGCTCACCGCAACCTCCGCCTCCTGGGTTCAGGCAATTCTCTTGCCTCAGCCTCCTGAGTAGCTGGGATTACAGGCACACACCACCATGCCCAGCTAATTTTTTGTATTTTTAGTAGAGACAGGGTTTCACCATGTTGACCAGGATGGTCTCGATCTCTTGACCTCGTGATCCACCCGCCTCGGCCTCCCAAAGTGCTGGGATTACAGGCTTGAGCCACCGCGCCCGGCCTTCCTACTTCTTAAGAGGTGCTCAACACCACGGTTCTTACCTCGTCTATTAAAGGATGACTTTCGGCCAGGGGATTAAAAGGTATGAATAGAAACAGCGCTGGTCCTTTCTTCAGCTCATTATTCAGCAGGAGACTCTTGCCTCCGTGTGGCCGCAGCCACCGAAAGAGTGTCTCCCGGTTTTCTAAGGCCCACTTACAGATGTTCTCAGCTGTGTAGTTCAGGACCTCCCTGGGGAAGACCTGTGAAAGACAAAGGCACAGAGGATAAAGGAGACCTAAGTGAGGGAGGGCAGGCTCCAGGCACAGCGGCGCTGTTCCAACCCCACCAACGCAGGTGAGAAAACCCAGGCTCGGAGTGGGACCTGCCCCTGCTGTGCAGCTAACATCCTCTTCTCCAGAGACAGCATTCCTCACAAGTGGCGAAAAAATCAAAGTGGTTGCAGGAGGTGACTTCCATATCGTATGATTCATCTTTCTGCCATGACACACAACCACCTATCAACAAATCATTCTCCCTGCCGGCTGGTGGCAATAACAACCTCTATCACCCTGGGTATTTATAAAAGGACCAAGACATATCTAAGCGAACAGAAATTACAGAGTCAAGGATCATTTAGATTTTTACCTTAGTCTTTTAAATGCTGCCCCACAAGGGCAGATCGGAGTCTCTGTGAGGCACAGGCTGTCTGTTCTGTTCACCTGTGTCCTCCATGACTAGGTAAACACCAGGCACAGAGTAGGAACTCAACACTTGTCTCAGTCAATCAACAAATGACCTAAACTTGCACAAGGCCATGGATCACATTTTATGTGTACAAAAAAATAAAAGAGACACTTAAAATTTTTTGCTTTGTTTTGCCATAAACAACCAATGTATGTGAATATACAATTATTTTTGAATTCTAACAATATAAATCCCTGGCTTCAAACAGAACTACCAAAAGGATGCTTCAGAGGGTTTTACGAAATGGGGTATTTAAAACTCCTCAAAATGAAGATTTAAACTGACTCATAACAAAGATGCCCACTGCTTGTGTTTTTAAAAATAATGGTGTATCCCAATATTATTGCATTTGATGAAAGAAATTCTACCAAACTGAAGCAGTAAACCTGATATATTTTCTATCTCATCTCATAGCCCTATCTTTTTTCCCTCATCTATTTTAAATTCTTTCTCAGTACCCTTTACTATAAATAAATATATGTAGGCTGTGTAACATGCTAAAAATGAAGGATGTAGGAGAATGACAGATAGCAAAAGCAGATGATGTCAAAGCAGCTTAGGTAGCAGCACAAGGAGCACAGGTGGGCAGCAGAGAAACAACCACAGCAGTGACTGTCCAGGTGAGATGATGGGAGTTTGAAAAACTGTACTCGAACTACCTCAAACATTTCTATTTGGAAAACACAAAAATACATTGACCTTTGGAATATAAACTGATAGAAGTAAAGCACAACATCTGGGCTCTGAGAGACATGCAGAAGCCAGGGTGAGTGGTGAGCAAGGGGGCACTCCTGGAATGGGCCCAACAGCCCCTCCGAAGGCACAAGACTTATACACTGTGCCAAGGGGGGGGCACAGGTTTTAAAGGCTGGGTACACTGGGTGCAGGGAAATTGATCTGTATACGACCTTTAAGTTACTGACAAGGACGTGAGACAGACAGAATACTTCAGGAAAGTAAACTCAGTGATGTGACTGAGGAAGCAGCAATCAATAGAGTAGACGCACAGGACTGAGCAGGACACAGGTCAAGCTCAGTAACAGCTGAGTTCAGGCTGTTCCACAAGAAAGCAAATGAAATCAGGGAACAAAGGTGGCAATGGAAAACCAAGGCTCTCTGGGATAAGAAGCCATTAACTTCTCACTGTGACTTCATAAGAACTTCAAAAATCCATTACATCAGCTAAGGAGAAAAGCATGTCACATGACTACTCTTCATAAAAGGAATAAACAGAGAATATCACTCAGTGGAAGCTTAGCCTCTGAGAACATGGGCTCCAAGAGAATAACTCTGCAATTTTATCCAAGAAGAAAAATTTGCAAGTCTGTACCAAAATCTAAGACTATAAATAAACAATTTCTATACATTAAATTCAAGAGCCCTTCTAATGCATGGGTTCTTAACCTGGGGCCTGGGCTCTAGGGTGGGGCCGTAAGAACTCTCCATTCAAATATAAAATCATGTGCGCTTTTCTAGAGAGTGCCCATAGATTATACCCAATTCTCAAAGGAGTCCGTGACCTAAACAAGGTTAAGAACCACTGCACTAACGTAAACGTGATTTCAAAATACTTACAAGTGATGTGTTGAAATGTCTATGTAAATACACACTTCCAGAGTGTACTAAGGATACCAGTTTCGCAAGATGTTTATTTGTGATAACCCCAAATCGTACTGTTCCTAGGTAATCTGAAACAGAAAATTTTCCTTTATTAAAGAAAAGGCCTATGCCTTAAAACAACCACAAAACCCAACGATCAAGTCTTGATGCACATACCCCTGGAGCAAAGCTCCTTCTGGTAACCTAGCCTTGAGAGGGAAGAAAGAGGAGGTGAGGAACCTCTCCTCCTGAAACAGACCTCAGCCCCTGGGATGTCAAGCCGGCTCCTGACAGGATGTCTCTAGGTAAACTCTCTGACAATCACCTGTGCTGAGGAGTCCCCTGTATCCATCTTATGATGGTCTGGCCTGTCCCCCTCAATCACAGGCCGAGGCACATGCTGTTCTCTTTATCTAGACACTTCCTGTGGCTGCTTTCCTGCTTTCTCTGAGAAGACTTCTTTGACCACCCCACCTAACAGCAAATACTTAGGAGACAGGGTCTACAAAGGCAAACTGGGCTCCCAAACCACTCAGGTACTCTCTTTTTTTTATAGCACTTCTTAATATCTGTATAATCTCATTCTCACCTAAAAAATCTCACCATTTTTTATAGCACTTCTTAACATCTGCATAATCTCATTCTCACCTAAAAAATCTCACCCTGTTTTTTATAGCACTTCTTAATATCTGCATAATCTCATTATTTTATTTGGATTTCTTTGGTCCAACGTCCTCTTTTTTTGATTTTTAGAGACAGAGTCTTGCTCTGAGGCCCAGGCTGGAGTGCAGTGGTATGATCTTGACTCACTACAACCTCTGTCTCCTGCGCTCAAGCGATTCTCCTGCCTCAGCCTCCCGAGTAGCTGTGATTACAGGCATGCACCACCACACCCAGCTGGTTTATATATACATTTCATATATATACATATATTTTGAGATGGAATCTCGCTCTGTAGACCAGGCTAGAGAGCAGTAGCATGGTCTCGGCTTACTGCAACCTCTGCCTCCTGGGTCCCAGTTGAAGCAATTCTCCTACCTCAGCCTCCCAAGTAGCTGGGGTTACAGGCACGAGCCACCATGCCCAGGTAATTTTTGTATTTTTTGGTAGAGATGGGGTTTCACCATGTTGGTCAGTCTGGTCATGAACTCCCGACCTCATGATCCGCCTGCCTTGGCCTCCCAAAGTGCTGGGATTACAGGCATGAGCCACCACGTCCAGCCTTAGTTTTTGTATTTTAACAGAGACGAGAGTTCACCCTGTTGGCCAGGCTGGTCTCAAACTCCTGACCTCAAGTGATCTGACCACCTCCGCGTCATAAAGCGCCAAGTATGAGCCACCATGCCTGGCCCAGTTTCCTCTTCTGACTGTAATTTCTGTGAAATTAGAGACTTTGCTTCATGCTGGTCTCCCAGCACCTACAGAAGTGCCAGGGTGTATAGTAACAGATCAAAAAACACTGACTAAATGAACAAATCTAGCATATACAAAGACTGATACAAATCAACAAAAAAAGGAAAACTGTTAAAATGGGCAAATCACAGAAAAGGAAATGTGTATAGATGGCTAATAATTACAGGAAATAAACTCAACCTCATTATCTTGAAAGAAAGCAAATTAAAACAAAATACTACTTTTAACCCTCAAATTGCCCAGAATTTAAGACATAGAAAATATCAAATATTGACCAATAGTAGAGAAATGACTATTCTGCTGTGATGCTGGGGGAAAAAGGCAAAATGGCACAGCCACTCAGGACAGCAGCTGCTGCAGTGACTAGATAAAGAATGGACACAGCCAGGATTTCCACTGCTGAGCATCCACATGTGTGTCAGGAGTCACAGGCAAGGATATTCACCAAGAAACACTCTGCAAATGTTAAGAACAATGAGGCAGGACTACACACCACAAACAGAAGCCGAAGAAGTTAGAGTAGACCTTTCATATTAATGAAAGAAAGAAAAAGAAAAAAACTCACACTTATAAAACAGTTTGTGTGTGTGTGTATTTTTTTTTCCTACAGGCACATATGTTTAGAAATGTATAAAGAATCTAAAAGGATAATAACAGTGGTTTGATGTTGGGGAACAAACATCAACAGGGACCTTATATGTGAAACTTTCATTTTTTTCATGGAGTATATCACAATATTTGTGTGATTATAAAGTATTTAGTGTTAAAGGAGGGTGAATAAGATACTATAGAACAAGGTACATTCTATCCTATCCCCTTTTTGCTTTATTAGCACATGCTAAATAAAATATCAGTTAAACTTTAGGCCAGGCACAGTGGCCCATGCCCTTAGTCTTAGTACTTTGGGAGGCCAAGGTGCGTGGACTGCCTGAGCTGAGAAGTCTGAGACCAGCCTGGCCAACATGGTGAAACGCTGTCTCCACTAAAAATACAAAAATTAGTCAGGTGTGTTGTGGCAGACACCTGTAATCCCAGCTACTCGGGAGGCTGATGCACAAAAATCGCTTGAACCTGGGAGGTAGAGGTTGCCATGAGCTGAGATCCTGAGATGGTGCCACTGTACTACAGCCTGAGTGACAGAGAGAGACTCTGTCTCCAAAACAATAAACAATTTTTTGAAAAAAAATCAGTTAAACATCAAATGTTACCAAATTATATACAAGCAGCTAAGATATAAAAATATTGAGGTGATAAACCGATAAAGTTTCTAGTTTCATCCCACGAGCCCCCCCCTTTCAGCGGTGTGGTCCTCTCTCCCTCAGGTAAGGAGTGGCCGACAAGGATGAGGTAAGAGTCAATATGTCCCTACTGCCAGAGTCAATAATTTTTCATACCAACCTGGTGAGTTTAAAATGGCACAAAACAAAACAAATACAGGACAAATAAGCCAGAAATTAAACAGTCTGGTTACTTCTGGGTGGCTGGGGAAAAGGGCAAGGGGAATGGGAAAGCAGGGCTGAGAGGCCTGGCACTGAGTAGGCCTTTCAGTATCTGACTCCTAGTGCCAGAGTGATGTTTCACATACCCTTCACATACTCCAAAATTAAACAAGTAATTAAAACCAAGTGAGATGGGACAATCCCAATGTGGAATACAGCACGTACAAATAACCCTAACTATTGCAAACAGGTAACACCACAGTGAAGGAGATGGGAAGAGAGAATTAACGTAATAACTGGAAAACAGTATCTTGACAATGCTGAAAAACTCAAGGCAAAAATAATTGTACATAAGTACTGTAAATCTAGGTAGTGTTTCTTTTTTTTTTTTTTTTTTTTTTTTTGAGACGGAGTTTCACTCATGTTACCCAGGTTGGAGTGCAATGGCGCGATCTCGGCTCACTGCAACCTCCACCTCCTGGGTTCAGGCAATTCTCCTGCCTCAGCCTCCTGAGTAGCTGGGATTACAGACACACACCACCATGCCCAGCTAATTTTTTGTATTTTTAGTAGAGACGGGGTTTCACCATGTTGACCAGGATGGTCTCGATCTCTTGACCTTGTGATCCACCCGCCTCGGCCTCCCAAAGTGCTGGGATTACAGGCTTGAGCCACCGCGCCCGGCCAGGTAGTGTTTCTTAAAGAGGCATAAGTTAGCAGTTCTGCAACTACTAACTTACTTCTTCGTAGTAAATACATTATAGATAATTATAGCCAGGACTCTCACTGTTGAACAAAGAATTTATATATTAACAAAGGAAGGCAAAAATAAACCCTGTGATGTTAAATTGAAATCAGAGAGAATCAGTATAATCTTACAGCTTTTGATACACACAGACAGACAGACAGACAGAAAGACACACACACAGAATGGATACAGAAATACAAACATGAGCATATGTGTGGGTATAAATACACTTCCTAGATCTACCCGCTGAGAAGACCTAGAATGACGTCCTGATACCAAAAAGCATACCTAGCACATAGATCTTGGTTTCTAATGCCATTCTCTAGTAAAAGAAGCCAGGACCCTTGGAGAAGAGGTTGATTCCATAGCTGGGGCGAAGAAAGTACAAGATAAGCCTGAATTATCTTGTATCAGAAGTAAAAAAGTGGGCCGGGCAAGGTGGCTCACGCCTGTAATCCCAGCACTTTGGGAAGCTCAGACAGCAGATCACCTGAGGTCAGGAGTTTGAGACCTGCCTGCCCAACATGGTGAAACTCCATCTCTACTAAAAATACAAAAATTAGCCAGGCATGGTGGTGGGCGCCTGTAATTCTAGCTATTTAGGAGCCTGAGAAAAAAGAATTGCTTGAATCTGGGAGACGGAGGTTGCAGCGAGCCAAGATTTTGTCACTACCCTCCAGCCTGGGCAACAAGAGCGAAATTCCATCTCAAAAAAAAAAAAAAAAAAAAAAAAAAAAAGGAAATGGTGCTCATAAGATGAGGGTTTGTCCAAAGGACCCAGGAGCCAAGCCGAAGCCCTCCTAGTAGCCAAAGTTGGAACAATGTGAGCAACAAAATAAACAATGACAGTACAAAGAATAAGGTAAATACCTGTGGCTCCATAATGATATTAATGAGAACAGTCAGCTCTTCTTACAGGAGAATTCCACTAATAATGAAAAAAGAATGAAGGAAATAGAAAATAACCATTTGAATACCAGAGTAATTGCTGTAGGCGAGATCCACTGATGGAGGCTAAAATTAGTGGACAAAAGTTTGAGGATATATTTACATAGTCTCAAATGATCTTCCCCCAAGGAATTTATTTATTAATTACAAAGGAAAAGATACTAACTTTCCAGTGGAGAAACCCAGCAAACACAACTTTAACCAAGTGATCAAAGTTAACGTCACCCGTGGGAGATGACACAGAACAGGCGCCTATCACCATGCCTGGCCAATTTTTTTATTTTTAGTAAGAGATGGGGTTTCACCATGTTGGCAGGCTGGTCTCAAACTCCTGACCTCAGATGATCCTGACACCGTATGAACCCCTTGATAAGAAGTGCTGAAAAGGACCTATTTCTATGGCATTGTTGTCAAAAGGCAACAATCACAAGAAAACAGACGAAACTGAGTGATTTTTCTACAAAATACCTGAGAAGTATTCTTCAGAAGTGTCAAGGTTATATACAAAGTATGAGGAAAGACAGAGGCTTTGTCATAGGCTGGAGGAAACAGAAAAAACCAACTTGGTGTAATATGGGATCCCAGGCGGATCCTGAAACAAAAAGACACTCGTGGAAACACCAAGACAATCCAAATGAGGTCTGCAGTTTGGTGAATAGGACTGTACCAAAGTTAATTAATTTCTTTTGGTTTTTCTTGAGACAGAGTCTCGCTCCGTTGCCCAGGCTGGAGTGCAGTGGCGCAATCTCGGCTCACCCTCAAGCGATTCTCCTGCCTCAGCAACCCGAGTAGCTGTGACTACAGGCGTGCACCATCATATCCGGCTTTTTTGTATTTTTAGTAGAGACAAGATTTCACCATGTTGGCCAGGCTGGTCTTGAACTCCTGACCTAAGGTAATGCACCTGGCCTCAGCCTCCCAAAATGCTGGGATTACAGATGTGAGCCACCCTGCCCAGCTCTAATATTAATTTCTTAGTTTGTACAAAACACCTAACAACTGGTTACGTAAGATGTTAACGATGGGGGGAACTGGCTGAAGGGAGGTAATTACAGAGCTCCCTGTTCTATTTTTGCAACTTTTCTCTAAGTATAGAATTACTTGAGAAATTTTTAAAATTTTGTTTAAAGGGCATGACATAAAAGTCCAGATCCCAAAGCTGTTAGAAGAATCAGACCAAAGAGAGGATGTGAATTAGTAGGACCAAAATACCCCTCTCCAGAAACAGATGATCTTGGTGGACAGTCACAGATAAAAGAGAAGGAAAAGTAGCCTGTAAGGAAATTCATTTGATAGCCTGCCAAAGTCACCATCACTATTTATTAGAGCAGAGGAGTGACAGCCTCATCCAAAGGTTAAAAGGGCCATTCAAAAAAACCTATGTAATTGCATTAATAAAAACAGACAGTCTGCCCAGACAGAACAGATTCTAACATGCTCAAACATATTACAATTTCAAAACTTTATTTTTCACACATAGAGAAATTTACAAAAATCACACTTCTATTTAAGTTCCAGCATATGGTGGAAATCTTGCTGGAACAAGCGGCTTAAATTTGCAGTCTCACGTGAAAAAAGAATGCCTGGATTAGCAGAGGAAGTTTATAGCATAGAGATGACACAAGAAAACAGCATTCTCTCATTTCCTTATCCAGAGCATTCTCTGATAAGCAGAGCTCCAGGGCTTTCTACAATAGAAGTCTTTGTCATTTATAAGATGAATTCTTTTGTCCTAAAAGTAATGAAGTTTCAATATTTTAATTAAGAATGTGGAATTTGTCAGATAATTAAAAATAAACTAAAACTCATACTCTCCTCTCCTCCACCCAAAAAGGTCTACAAGTTGCAGTATCCCATTCAATTAAAAAAAAAAAAATTATCCATTAGTCTGGTGATTGGCCACTTCAAGATCTCTGTCAAACAAGTGACAACTGGTGTCAATGGCCACTGCATGATGTAATAAGATCTTGAAGGAACATCTGGGTAAAAGAATTAGTTACTAAGCAGTTTCTGCAGCTGCTCACACAGGTGGCCAAAAAGGTCAAGGTGACCACAGCATGACTCTGGGTGCCCCTCACTCCTCAGGGAGAGAGGGTGCTCCTTTGCTGCTTGCTACAGAGGGTGCTGAGTCCGGGGCCCTGCGATCATCGGCTACAGAGCTGTGCACAAAGGCACCATCTAGGCTCATCACAGCACATCTCCCTCCCTTGGACACTGGCTGGAGAACCAGTTCTATTATGCTGATGCTAATACTGTTTGCTGTGCTTTGAGCAGAAATTGTCTTGTGCTTTGACCCATGAAATCTTGCCTACTTTTGGCAGGCAAGCAGGTTTCCTCCTGGCCATCTCTTGTGAGGCTGGAATTCTTCTCTGTCCCTAAGAGAATGTTCCCCCCTTGCTTCCCACACCCTCCCCAGGTATAGCTTCACCTGCTCTTCTTGTGCCTTTTGTGCACTACTGTCACCATTCACCTCATGGCAGCTACCAAGAGTGCCTGAAAGACCCGAAACTTCATCTGGTTTCTACTCACATTCATCTGGCTCACTCTACTCTCTAGTTTGCATAAACGCTTTCTGGTTTTTAGCAATGTTTTAGTATAAAACTACAGCTGACCCTTGAACAACATGGACTTGAATACAGATTTTTTTCAACCAAACACAGATCCAAAATAAGTATTTGTAGAATGTAAAGCCCATCTCTATGGGGAACCAATTTTCATACATGCAGATTCTGAAGGGCCAACTGTGGAACCTGGTATGCAAATTCTGGTACATTTGAGGATCCTAGAACTAATCCTCAATCTATGCCAAGGGACAACTCTATTTTATTTAGTTTAGTATCATTTGACTTAAATTTAATTTTAAATATTAAAATGTCAGTCTAGAGCCAGACACGGTCACTCATGCCTGTAATCCCAGCACTCTGGGAGGTTGAGGCGGGTGGATCACTTGAGGTCAGGAGTTTGAGACCAATCTGCCCAACCTGGTAAAACCCCAGCTCTACTAAAAATTAGCCAGGTGTGGTGGCAGGCACCTGTAGTTCCAGCTACTCTGGAGGCTGAGGCAGGAGATTCGCTTGAACGTGGAAGGTGGAAAAAAAAAAAGAATGTAAAATATCTCCATCATTATTATACTGATTATATGTTGAAATAATTTGGATACACTGGGCTAAATATTAATTTCACTTGTTTCTCCCCCTACTCTATTTTTTTTTTTTTTTTTAAGACAGAGTCTAGCTTTGTCGCCTAGGTTAAAGTGGCCCAATCTTGGCTCACTGCAACCTCTGCCTCCCAGGTTCAAGCAATTCTCCTGCTTCAGCCTTCCAAGTAGCTGGGATTATAGGCATGCGCCACCATGCCCAGCTAATTTTTGTATTTTTAGTAGAGACAGAGTTTCACCATGTTGGCCAGGCTGGTCTCAAACTCCTGACCTCAAGTGATCTACCTGCCTCAGCCTCCCAAAGTGCTGGATTACAGGCCTGAGCCACTGTGCCCAGCCTCATTTGTTTCTTTTTAATTTTTAGCAGAGCTACTAGAAAATTTTAAATTAGGCTAGGCATGGTAGCTCACATCTATAATCCCAACACCTTTGAGAAGGCTGAGGCAGGAGGATCACTTGAGGCCAGGAGTTGTTGCCCAAGACTAGCCTGGGCAACAGAGTGAGACCTTATTTCCAAACAATTTTTTTAAATAAGCTGAGCATGGTGATGTATGTATAGTCCTCAGTACTCAGGAGGCTGACATGGGAGGACTGCTTGGGCCCAGGAGGTCAAGGCTGCAGTGAGTTATAATTACACCACTACACTCCAGCCCGAACAGCAATGTGAGACCTTGTCTCGAAAACAAAATTAAAAGAAAATTTTAAATTAGCTATGTTGTTCATATTATATTTCCATTGGATTATGCCGGCATGGTAATGATGAAAAAGCAAGATTCATTTACCTCAGGAAGAAAATTAGGCTGAGATGATAAATCCAGGAGCCAGAAAGTCTTAATAATATCTGGTAAGGTCACATGAGACAATGTTTCTTATATTTTTTTCATGAAAATCCCTCCAACAGTAAAGAATAATGATCTCTAAGTACACGTCTCCTCTTCTTCAAAAAGGAAAAAGGGAGGGTCTAGACCTGTAACTCTAGCCTGAGCTTCTGAAATTAATTCTCTCTCACAGACCTAAGGTATAGTAAAATACCCAAGGATACACTGAAAGAACAGGCAGAAACACCAGGTCTGAACAATGTGGAATTCCTTACACTGGGGAAGGTCACCTGCTATCATGGAGACTTCCTTCCGAATGAGCTCATCTCTAAGGGATCATGGAACAAAATGGAGTATCGGGTCAAAAAAAATGCTCATAAAGGTAACTGCTAACAAACCAACATATACTTCAAAACAAAATGCCACTGGATTAAGTCACACGGCATTTAATCAACATGGCTAAGAAGGCATTTACTCCATGGGGAAATTTTTCTCATTTCTTTAAATTGGGAAATAGTGATATCCCTGTATCATTGGGATACAGGGATATCACTATTGTGGGATAGTTGTTGGGAAACAATTCTCATTTTAGTCTCTCTGTCATTTTTAACTTCTACTTTTCTACTCTTCTTTCCAAGGTTTTAAATAAGTCAGAAAAAGGAGACTAGGATTATACAAAAAGGGATTAAAAACAACCCCTCTAATGTTAATATTTACATAAAGATTCACTTTTCAGATTCTTCATAACCATTTACTGGACGGTGATTGTATACATTTCAATAAACTGTCCATCAAAATGAAAAACCTTCGAAGAAATGTAACACTACAGAAATGCTTGTTTTCAAAACTATCATTACTTGCACTTTCCCCCTACAAATGTGACAGTGAGATTTGCATACTTTTAAAATTCTCAATATAAAGCACAAAGCAATTATCTAGAAAAAAAATCTGGCATTTGGACATCACAGATACGCTGTGGTGCTTGCCAAGATACTACTAAACAGTAACTTATAAGCTGTGATTATTTTTGTGTGTGAGCTAGGTAGGAAGGGAAGAGAAATGTAGTTCCAAATACATTATTTTAGAGAAAGTAAACTATAGCAATAAATATGCATTGTTACATATACTTAACCTGACAGTAAAATAAACCTCCTCACACCAGCTGTTCTCATTTAGTAAGTCTAAAACACAATATTAAAATGATCAATTTAGGTCAGGCGCAGTGGCTCATGCCTGTAATCTTAGCACTTTGGGAGGCCACGGTGGGTAGATCATTTGAGGTCAGGAGTTTGAGACCAGCCTGGCCACCACAGTGAAATCCCGTCTCGACTAAAAGTACAAAAGTTCACGGCGTGGTGGTGGGCACCTGTAATCCCAGCTTCTCAGGAGGCTGAGGCAGGAGAATCACTCGAACCTGGGAGGTGGAGACTGCAGTAAGCAAGATTGTGCCACTGCACTCTAGCTTTAGTGAGAGAGCAAGACTCCATCTCAAAAGAAAAAAATAAAATGAACAATTAAAATACTTCCCTTGTATGCACTTCCCTTAAATTTTTTTTTTTTTTTTTTTTTTTTTTTTTAATAATCCTCAGGGAAACGAAAAACTTTGCAAGCTAAATATATCCAATGAGAAACCTCCTCCACCCCATTTCAGGCTATTCTTAAGGTCTAACACAGGAGTCAGGTAGATGAGGTCTCTGTCACATTTTCTTTTTCCCCACCAAACAATGCTTTAAAAATATTTTTTACATTTTTAAAAAACATTCTTAGCTCCCAGGCCTACAAAAATAGGCCAAGGGCCGTTGCATTTTCAAGATGAAATGCCCCTTACAGATAACTAGAGCAAAGCTCCCTAATTTTACAGATGGGGAACCTGAAACCTGAAGGCCAGTGAGAAATCAAGGCTGGGCCATGATTACACCAGGATATTTGCTATTAAAATGACTTCAGGGCTAGGCACAGTGGCTCACGCCTGTAATCCCAACACTTTGGGAGGCCAAGGTGGATGGACTGCTTGAGCCCAGGAATTCAAGATCAGCCTAGGCAACATAGCAAAACCTACAAAAATTAGCTGAGTGTGATGGCGTGAGCATATAGGAAGATCACCTGAGCCTGGGGAGTTTGAGGCTGCAATGAGCCATGATTGTGCCATTGCACTCTAGCCTGGATAACAGAGTGAGGTCCTGTCAAATAGATAAACATTAAGGAGAAAAAAAAAAAAATGACTTCAAGATTCATTGGCCCCTGCCTATCTGTTCTTCTTGTTAGGAAGATAACACTGAAGCCCGGGGAAAACTAGAAACCAAGACAGGCTGGTAAGCAGGAGAAACAGCCTATTTGTCTATTAGTGCAACAGGAGCTCCAAGAAAGAAGCTGGGGTTATGAAACTCACAGGACATCCAGTATGCCAGACATCATGATAGACAGTCAAGAGTTATCAATCCACAGAACTTCCGATAGGTCTTGAAAAATTAGGAAGGCAAACATTAGCCAGGGAAACGTATTACATTTAAAGCAGTATTACAGGCAAA